CCCAAAATGGCAGTCATAAAAATAGACAGAAATTTCTGATGATTAAAATTAAGGACCTTCTGCCAATTTTGGCCAAAATTAAGGACTTTTAAGGACCAAAAATCAATTCCAAAAAAACTTAAGCACTTTTAAGGACCGTATGAACCCTGTATAAAAAAATAAAATTAATGCTAACAGAAAGTGAGACTGAACAAGATTTCAGATTTTGCTGTTAAATGAATTAAAAATATCTAATCGAAATGCTTATCAAATATTATTAGTGACTATGAATATTTTATATTCCTAAAAATAAAAACATAAAATGCAATAAAATTTCTCTCTGAACGCACATTGTTCTATTAATGTAATGTGTTTTATAATAATGTTTAAATAAAATAATAAAATGTTTAAATGAACATTTAATTATTATGTGCAAAATAAATTTACAGAATAGCATAAATCAAAAATAGAAGCCAATTTTATTTTATAAAGAAAAAAACCATATTTCAAATTACACACACACACACAAAAAAAAAAAAAAAAAAAAAAAAAAAACCACCTTAAAAGTCGGCTATGAAAATTTTGCTTCAAAAATCAAATTTTGTATTTTTATTTTCAGTTCTTCTCTTTTCCGCAAATCGGAAATATCTAAAAGGGAGGAAGCGACATACTTCCCAAACAGAATTTCTGTATTATTTTCTGTTTCCTGCACTTTTAAAAGTACAGCAGAAGCAGTGTATAGGAAGTCCTGTATGTCACTGTCCTCCCTTTTGCGCTTCTTCCTTTCAACTGGCATCAGCTGGCTTGTTGAAGGAGAAGGAGAGGGCTCACTTACATCTAGAAGTGGCAGGCTAGAAATAAAATTTTCGCTAATGGCAGGAGAGGGCTGCTCTCTACGTTCTTCCTCCTGAAAGGAATATTAAATATTAGTGTCCATCTGTTTTTAAAAATCTAGCAATAAATTCACATAAATAAACTACTAAAACAATTTAAGGCTGAACCTTGACGCAGGATCTCGCTGTAACAACAAAATGTATAGCCCTTGGTTAACTAGACTCTATCATTGCAATGCTTTAAGAGGGCCTTAGCCAAAAATAATAACAGCCTATCTCTAGTCAGAAATAAAAGGCCATATTTTGTTGCAATCATGTGTAGGAATATACACATTTTATAACTAAATAGAAAATGATAATGCAAATAAAGTAAACCATCTTAACACAAACTCGCTTAAGGCGAACACACAGTTAACATAAAAAAAATTTTGGTGCCGGCAAGTGATGTGTATGATTATAGGAAGTTAGTCCTCTCCAACCTCTGGATCAAGGCATTACTGAATTTATGAAGTTAGTTATAAGTGTTACTGCAGGTAATTTGCGAGAGTTGAATTTTGTGCATTTGAAAGGGGAGTCTGCTTGATGCAGTCAAACTTATCGGTGCACCCTCAAAATCTGTGTCATCAACATCAAACTGTGTCATACAACAAAAAAGTAAATTATCTCTATCAGAATAACATTAACTGTGTGTTTACATCACATACAGTGCAAAAACAAGATTATTGTAGTACATGATCAGCCACTGTGGTTACAATATACAACAATAATTCTAAATATTAACAAAAATGCTGCAATTTTACTTTTAAACCTATACAATCATTGCATATAAGCATATTTAAATTACCAAAATTATTTCAATTACTTTATTTACTTAAAATGATATTTAAAAATCCAGTGCTATAAATTAACGGTAATATATTGTTACGGTTTTTGTATTCATTTGGCTATTTTAGTATAATTAATTAAAATTGTTTTATATCCCCTTGCAATGCAGGACGAGACTTATTTGAAAAAAAAGCTATGTCGAAAAATCAAAAATACATGAGCACGTTCATTTAATAGATTTCTTGAAATTTATCTTTTGCTTTCCGGAACCGAGAAAATACCTGAATATTCTCGTGCTTTATTTAAAAAGTTCATAAAATCTGAACGAAAACATATCAATTAAGTTGTTTGGATAACTGTTGTTGTTTATTGTAGCAAATTCGTGGGGAAATTAGATTAGCTTTCTCTGTTCTTCCGTGGAACGGTGTTTGATATACCAGGATACCTGAGTGACAAGGCTCTACCCCTTGTGGAACAGTTTGCACATTGCAAATGGTATGATGAAATAACCTAAATGATATATAATAAAGTAATTTGCTTTTTATAATAAAGTTACTAAATAATAATTTAGAATTCATATTTAAGCCAGAAGTTAGGAAATGCTAATTAAAGTGTTAAGCAATGTCGAAAGCATTCTCTGTTTTAAATTAAGTTCTGTTGAACGTTTTCGTAGTTTAAAAGATAACTACTGCGAGATATAGAGATATTGTACGAATATGTATAAGGAAATCTAAGCATTTTGTTTTTATTTGTTGCGATAAGTATAAATTTTATTCACTTTTTATCGGACTTGTGAATTCAGTTTTGCCAAAGTCAATTGCAGAAGTCCCGACGAGTCCGGATTAAAGACTTTTGACTGTATAACTTTTCAGATAGTTGTCACCAAATATTGTCACGCTGTAATACATTTAACAAAATTAAATTATGAAGAATCTGCATGAATGTATGTACGTTTCTCGCACTGTGAAAAAACAACCGAACGTAGAGCCATCCAATACTGAATAATGTAGTCCTCCACCTGAATAATATCACTTGGAAGCCCTAATTTGCAATTTGTTTCATTGACTATTTCATATTTTTGTAAAACTTAAACGAATATTAAACAAACAAATTAACAAACTCAACTTTCAAGGAAAGTAATAGCAATACTGTACAGAATAAAAGATTTTTATTTCCAGCCTGCAAGACTGTCTATCAGAAATTCTAAAGATATGCTTTTTAAAAATATTTTTAGCCCCAATGCTCCCAAAACGTGTAAGTACTTTTTGTAAATTAAAATAACACCCCTTTGGGCATAATATAAAATCAGAAAGCTTTCAGATTTTTTTTTTATCTTTATTTTATATTTAATCCCAGGGATAGTCATAAATGAAAAACGTTTAAGAAATGCCGTCTGAGAGCATTACAGCAATCCTAGAAGTTATTCTAGATTCTTGCAGAAAAATGAGAGTTTTAATTGATCTTTATTGCTATAGGACCCTATTTGCTAAATAGTTTTCTACATAAAGATGTAAGTGACCAAACATAAAGATATAAGTGACCAAAGTACATGTGTTGCCCTTACCTGTTAGAGCAATATTCATATTTTCAAGAACAAGTCCGTTAATAAAAGCATTTTAAAATGTGCCATACTGCTTAATTTATTTTCCCTGAAATAATGGATAATAATTTTCCTCTTTTTGATGCTGTCTACTATAGAACAATAAATGGTACTACAGTTTTGTACTGAAACATACATGTAAAAATGTAGGCTATTGGCTACTGGTAAAATTAATTTTGCTGTTCTTACAATGTTCTATGGATTTTTTACCCTGAGTAAATACAATTAACAAAAATTTATTGGTCTCCCATTTCATTTTGTTCTTTTTGTGAAGCAATTAAACACAAGGATATATTTTCAAATTTTGGAAACTTTTACAGCAGACAAAATGAGCTGATGACAAAAGTATGTTTCTTAACACGAAATATAAGTTTGACACATGTATCTATGCAAAGAAAAACTGGTATACATTATCATATAGTGATTTTTTTTTCTTTTTAATGCAAATCCATTAGCAACCAAGCAGAAAGACCCAGCAGTTAGGTAGCCGACTACCTTCCTAATATCACGAAGACTTAATCATTTTGTCACATTTTTAGGAATCGTTATACCTATAAATAATGTCTTCAAATACTGAGGATACAAGTTCTAAAATCCAAAAGAAAAAAGTTTCTACAAACTTGTGTGAGCAAAAAGACAGAAGATTTTTGAATTTTGAAAAGAAAAAAGAAATCAGAAAAATGTAAACTGTACAGAGAAAACTTATACCCATTTAAAAATACTCAGAAAAACAATTATACAGGATACAGATATCATGAATAAATATTGAAGAAGAGGAATGAAACTAGAAAACTAATTTTTAAATAATTACAGTAGCCTTCTTGCTTTTGGCGCAATGTTTCCAAAAACTTCCATAATTTCCAAAGCATTTAGCAAAAAAGCTACCAATTATAGCATTTATTGTTTATTTTTCAGAATATGTGCTTTATAACATTTATTATTTGTTTACTTTTCAGAAGCAAAATATTCTTTGCCAAAATGTAAAATAATTTCATCTTAACATAAGGATTATTTTAGTTTTCTTTCACCATTACATGGGGAAAATATAAAACAGTTTAAAAATAAATACCTAGTAAACATGGATTTCTTACCTGTACAGAAATGATGTTTTCGCATCATTTCTTTTTGTATGCATTACGCACATGGAATTGTGCTACTGGTATGTCCAAGATTTGACTGAAATATTTAAGATTTCATTTGCCTTACTAACATTGCTGTGGAAACCTGCACAGGTTTTTGTGAACGTTATACACCGGCACATTTAATATAGGAGCCGGATAGGCATGATCTTCAATACTTGTTAAGCACTAGTGAAAATACCTAACACTTTAATAACAGGCACAAGAATGATATTTGTATCAGTACTGGCACAGCTGTAACTGATATCTGCACTAAATTCAGAAATAGCCATGTTTAATACAAAGCACATATAAGTTACAGTACACATATCAGATGAAACATTTAGACACCTTTTAGGATTTCAGTTTTTGAAGTTTTGATCTACATAACACATTTTGTTATGCAGCAGATATTATCAATGAACACTAATTATCATGTAAAAATAACTTCAAACATATTTCATCTCACAGGATCTCCAGTGGCTTTTAGGCTCTAGTGTAGAATTGGGTGTCCCTTGGATTTGCAATAAATTTTGGCGATGAAACCTTATTTCTGGTTACCATGATAGTTTTAACTTCCTGATTTTATTTAAATGAAAATAGATTTATGTGTACATTGACAAAGTTAAGGCAGTGCACAATGCCTAGTTTGTGCAAGTCTCTGATATTTTTTAAGTGAAAATAGATCGACGTGTACATGATCACAGAGTTTGTGCAAATCTTCGATTTCTTATTTTGGTTTTGTGTAGTGACCATCTTGAAATTGTGCCTACTTGGTGCCGATCTTAGCAACAAAACAGAATCACCAAACAAACAATGGGCATCTAACTGTAAATTTTTACTAGGCTGCCTAGGCTTTATGATATTTGGATTTGTCTCTCTAAATTATAAGAATTTTGCAACACCTAAATTCTGTCCAATGAGAAAAATCCGAACTTAAGGTTTCCTAGCTGCACAAACAGGTACTTATTCCAAAGATAAGTCAAAGTGGTTTTTAATATATGCTCAAAAAGAGAGGACATTTCTCTTCTGTGTAGATAAAAGAGATACATTTCTTAAAATTCTTCATTGCCCTAAATAACTTGTTACACACATAACTCATAACATTTGTCTCTTTTGTTAATATCCATATGTAAATCCACTTTATGAAAATGAATGTTTATGTAGTTCACACTCAAATTTTCTTTCCAATGTGAATAAGCATATGCTTGTTTAAACTACCCTTTTCACTAAACTTCTTACAAGCTTCTGGTTTCTTCCCTGCGTGAATGCTCATATGCACATTCAACCTACTTTTTTGATTAAATGATTTGTTACATACTTCACATATGTGAGGTTTCTCTCCTGTGTGAATAGGCATATGTGCATTCAAATTACCTTTTCGATTAAATGATTTGTTACATACTTCACATATGTGAGGTTTCTCTCCTGTGTGAATGCGCAAATGCCTGCTTAAATGACTTTTTACATTAAATGATTTCTCACACATTGTACACATAAAAGGTTTCTCGCCTGTGTGAATACGCATATGCACGTTCAAATTACTTTTTACACTAAATGATTTGTTACATACTTCACACGTATGAGGTTTAACTCCTGTGTGAATAAGCATATGCAGGTTTAAATAACTTTTAACACTAAATGATTTCTTACATACTTCACAAATATAAGGATAAGGTTTCTCTTGCGTGTGAATAAGCATATGCTTGTTTAAACTACCCTTTTGAATAAATGCCTTCTTACATACTTCACATATATAAGGTCTCTCTCCTGTGTGAATACGCATATGAACGTTTAAATGACTTTTTCCATTAAATGATATCTTACATACTTGACATTTATGAGGTCTCTCTCCTGTGTGAATGCTCATATGCATGTTAAAAGTACTTTTTCGATTAAATGATTTCTTACATACTTTACAAATGTAAGGTTTCTCTCCTGTGTGAATAAGCATATGCTTGTTTAAATCACCCTTTGTACTAAACGTCTTTTTACAGACTTCACATATGTAAGGTTTCTCTTTTTGTGTGAATAAGCATATGCATGTTTATGTATGTCAAGATGATGTTTATGCTCTGTATGGATGTAAAACGGGGCAGTTAACTGAATTTCACCCAAAACTACTTCTGGATATTCCACAATAATTTTCTGTGTCTTCCGTAAATGCACATGTACATATCTTGATGAAATTATAAATGCATATTGTATGTGAAACTTACCTCATGTATTGAATAAGATTGGCTCGGTTTTCCAAGCGCACTTCCGCAAAAATCAAGTTCTTAGATTACATAGAAATATGATTCCTTACTGAAGAATATTTACGCAATACATGATATATGCTTCATTCTTATTACATAGAGTTTTGGTTCTTCTAGATTTATTAGTTAGCACTTAACAGTTGCATATGTAAGTGTTAAATAATTTGCACATTCTACGACATTGCGAAGTCCATTATGCAATGCGTAGTAACTAGAGAGAAACAAAATTCATTTTAATTTGCAACACATATTGCTCATTTATTACTTCATACGTATGAGAGACTCATACAAAAAGTAGACAGTCTTTGTTCGCTTCTTCACGTATCTCGAAATTCACGATACGAAAATTTTCAGTATTGCAGGAACAATGAAGACATACAAAGTAGACGGAAATCAGAAATAACTGTTTGTTTTGCTGCCTATACGCTGTAAGTCACCTCGTTTAGTTAGATGTATACAATGACTTAACACAAGGAAATCTCCCTGTCATGGATGGCAGATGAGAGATGGAAAGTATAGATACGGCGTATCTGCTATCGCAGTACCATGCGAGTGAAGCTAGGGAAAGAAAATAAGCCAAAGAATATGTATTGTTAAGAAGGAAAACTTCGCAGATGCAGAAGTGGCTCCCTTCGAACGAAAAGGGAAACAGCTGCGCATGCGTGAATTATCTGTCCCCCAAAGTTAGAACAGGTTTGACGGTCACGTATTTCACGAGTTTAAACAAGGTTAGAATCTCCTTGAGTTTAAAGCAAAGCCAAAGAATATGCATTTTGAGAGCAAGGCCAACTTATACTCAAGGCCTGCCAGACTGAACGAAATTCCCGTTCCCAGTTTTCAGTGGCTTTCGCGAAATTCATCATTAGGTAGCGCTCGCATTCTTGCTACACTTTTGCTAAACGTTCTCTATTTGTAACATGGCTCCTTATTAACAAAAAGTGTATTTTATTAAAACGTGCCGTTGTAACTAATAGTAACATAGGATGGTATATTGTTGCCCGCTTTACAGCAAAGTTTTCTTCCTTTTAAACAAATTTTAGGATTGTATTTAAATAATTATTGCCAACGTATAACTATTGGACGAATAGCATTTCCATTAGTTTCATGGAATACAGGTGTAATACAAAAATACAAAAATATAATACAAAATTTCTTAAATAAAAGCTCATCATTCACGTAAAATTTTAAGAGCTTTAAAATTCTTTTCATATGTTTCTTTCCCTCAACTTTTGTATGTAAACAAGCTTCTGAATATGTTTCTTTCCCTCAACTTTTGTATGTAAACAAGCTTCTGAATATGTTTCTTTCCCTCAACTTTTGTATGTAATCAAGCTTCTGAATATGTTTCTTTCCCTCAACTTTTGTATGTAAACAAGCTTCTGAATATGTGTGTGTATGTGTGTTCAGCTTCATGTCATTTTTTCGTCTTCCTGAAATAAAAATATCATAATTCTTTTTTTTATCATACTAGAGATAATCTGCATAAATGATATTTTAACCTATCATATATATGTATATACATATTATTAGCATTTCGTATAAAATACATTATACATTATCAAATATATTAGCATTTCGTATAAAATATATACGTTGATGCATTCTTAAATTTTAATTGCATTAAATTCATATATATCTATATACATATGATATATATCTATATACATATGAATTTAAATGCATTAAATATATATATATATATATATTACTTTTCTAGCTCTCGTATTTGTTATCTTTGATCTAGAAACATTTGAATGCTGTCTGTACTAGCTTCAAAATTTTAAAGCGCATATCTCATTTTAATTAGTGTGATATATCAATATGCTGTGCGTGAATTCGTGTCTACCTGGTTGAATGTTTTATGGTTGCACTTCAAGCAATAGACATTCATGTTGAATCCTTATATATATGTAATTAATAGAGATAATACTTTTTTGTTTTAGGGGATATGGCTATATTTTTTAAAATATGCGGTCAATGATATTGAAAGACTTAGTATTCAACACTAAGAGTTTCAAAATGTTATGTTCCCTCCTTACTGATGGATGAGTCCCAAACTAGTTGCTACATTTCAAGTAGGGGGTGTCAATATAACTTTCGATGCAGTTTAGCAGATCAACATCAGTAAAATTACACAACGTGCTATAAGGAATGTAACGCTGCATATTAGATTTTCATTCTCAGTTTTTACTTTTCATAAAGGAGCACTCATTTTGGGACAATTTTATAGACGCAAATGTAGAGGGTTCGCATGCTGTTAAGCCACGCCCCATTTTGTAAGGCGTCTTCCATCAGTAAGGCCATAAAATCTTCAGGCTAATTAAATATAAATTCAATGATCTGTCTCCTCTATACGAGCCAGTTTGCCTTAGAAATTCTTCCAAGGGGGCATCCCTCACCTTAGGCACACAGCCCCGAGGCTTTGCCTTAATCACATAAACCCGAGGTTTCTGATATATGGGCGGTATAGTCCATACAAGATGGGGCGTGGCTAAAGCGCGATCCTTCTAAATTTGCGTCCATAAATTGTCCCAAAATAAGTGCTACATTTGTGAAAAGTAAAAACTGAGAATGAAAACCTACTATACAGTGTTGATGTCGATCTACTAAACTGCATGGAAAGTTATTTATGACTCCACCTACTTGAAATGTAGCAATTAATTTAGGACAAAACTTTCCACCTAAGTGCAGCAACTAGTTTGGGACGGAGGGAATATAAAATTTTGAGATTGCTAGCGTTGAGTACCAAATACCTCAATATCATTGACACCTTATTTAAAAAAATTAAGCCATTTTCCATAAAATAAAATATATTACCTCTATTAATTACGTCTATATGGATTCGACATAAAATTTTTTTAATTTGTTAAAAGAAAATAGTAATTTTCTCTGTAACTTTGTTGCTAAAGAAGAAAATCATAAGTATGATTTTGTCCGAAGCTGACCAGTGTCTATTCAAAATTTTCACCTTAATGAAAATAAATTTAAAAAAGAAAAACATCCACCAATTTTTCCGTAGTTTAATTTTATTTGAAATTTCGAAATAGACTGTAGTTGAACGTTGGACATGATTGAATGATGGCTGCTACAGCGATGGCGACGAGTCTGAGCTCCGTAGT